TGATGCACGTCATTTGCAAAAGGTTAAATGTACATTTGAATGTTTTCATTTCATTGGTTTAAAGGACCACTGAGGCCATGTAAACATACTGATTATCCTTATTTTATTATTTTAAGTTTAATGAATCATAAGATTTTTTTTTTATGAGTGTGTCCACACCAGTAATAGTAATATTTCTATCCAGTATTTTTTTTTTATGGCAACACCTCCAAAAGTCGTTTCAATAAATACAGCTATGTATGAATTCAGTTGCTTTCAGTTATGTATCAATTGAAGACACTATCCAGATCATAAGCAGCCAGTCAGCCACTGGTAAGGGCTGGATCTTTTTCTTACAGTGTTCAGTGGAAATATCGCGATGCATCGCAATATTTCAAGTATCATGATGCATCGTGATAGAATCGCATCATGGCATGTTAATCGTGATTCAAATCGAATCGTGACTTCTTTGCCAATACTCACCTCTAATCTTCGGCTCAATCCGAGTCCATGAAATTGTAGCTCCCATCCTGTTCCCTTACCTTTAAAGAGTAAACGGTAAATTTCTCTAGGGAACAAACTGCTTTATGCTGCATTTCTTCCACATTTCCAGCTGGTGTCCTCCATATAAACCTTTAAGAGAATAACATCAGAGCTGCGCTGCTAGTTTTGATGAGCCTCACTGTGACCTGCACAGTCAACAGAGGTGAGTAATGTTCTATCAGCCTCTGAGAATACAAGAAATAGTCAGTAAAAGTAAAATAAAGTTTAAATTCCTCTTTTTTAAACCTCAACAGGCTGGAATCTCATCCAAAATTTATAACAAGGGTTCAACTGAACAGCAAAACTCAAATCCAGAAATATTAAAGAGGGGAGAATAAGTAAGCAGAGCTCTGAACGTCTACTGGGTGCAGATCCTGTGCAATGAAGTTTCTGAATTTAAAGTATTTTACTGTATTCCCATTTTTCTGAGAAAACTTGACTGCAGCCAAATTCATCATAAACTTTTAAGTTTTTGTTTCAGGTTGAAATATATTTTAATAAATTTGAGAAAAGGGCCAACTGAAACAGGATAGATGGGGCAAATTTAGGCTAAAATATACACAGAGAAATAATTGTCTGAAAAGGGAAATGAGACGGAAACCTTTAAGAAACCAAATTGAAACAGAAATAAAAGCTGCAGCATAAACATGTCCCATCAACGCCTCAAACTGGATTTAAATTAAGAGTTAAAAGGAACAGCCGTCATTTCAAAGAATCTATTTTCAATTTACAGCAGCAAAGATTGCTCACGTTTTCTGTTTTTCATATGAACTCATCACAGACTGAGGAAATAGGCAGTTCTGGAGTAAAACCATCAACAATCATTCAATCCGGGATTCATTCCTCTGCACTGACTGAATAAAACCTACGGTAAACATCTGCATTACTTTCTGATGCTTCTAGTCTCTTTGTGGTTCCACCCAGTCCCAGACGTGGACCGACCCGTCTGAAGCTGCAGACAGCAGAGTCCTGGGACGCTCAGGATGCCAGGCGTGGGAGGTGATGAAGGTGGGGACGGTGTCGGCGGCGTGCGGCGAAGAAACGGCGTGACCGCTGTGCTGAAACAGTGGCTGAGCGTCCTGCAGCTCCGTCCTCCATCCACGGGTGTCGTAGATCTGAATGAGTCCGCTGAAACCTGGAGAGGCAGGTGAGAAATTCTCATCAGAGGAGTTTCTACATAACTCTAAGACTTCTGGCTGTTTAGTGAAACTAAAGCATCAGAAAAAACTCCAACAGCTTCTTTTTTCGTTAAAGACTCTGAAACTGAACACCAAGCAGTTTTCTAGCTACTAGTTTTTAAATTAAACGATTGATTTTAAAGAGAGAATTAATCCACAGAACAACTAAAGTGTTGCAGAATAAAAGTATTAACTGGGGGGGGGGGGGGGGAATAGTATATTAGTTATTATATTATATTTACTTCTGCTTATGATGCCGACATCCACATCAAAGGACTGCAGAACATAGCGCTAAAAGTCGAGTGATATGGATTATAAATCCGATTTAGCGATTTTTTTTATTTCTCGTTTCTCTTCAGTTTTATAACAAAAATGACAAATTAGTCATACTGCATCTAAAAACCTGTTGGAGGTTTTCTTAATTTTTTTTCTAATTTAACCTTTATTTAACCAGGAAAAATAAATCCCATTGAGTTTAAAAACCTCTTTTTCATGGGAGTCCTGGTCAAGATGCAGCAAAGTTACATAATAAACTGAGATACATTAAATTAAATGACAGGTACATAAAAAAAACATATCAAGTAAAACAATTACAGATCATTGAGGCTGCTTCAAATTCTTTCACTTTCAACTTAAAAGCATTTGATGATAAAAACTCAGTAAACTTCCAGTTTCTTTGTAAAAAAACAAAAAAAAATTCCCCCCACAAGAAGCTGCGTAGCTAAAGGCTTTCTTCCCTAATTTTGTGCGGGAAAAAGGAACAGTGAGCAACAGCTGATCGTTGGATCTCAAGGCATAAGAAGCCATGCTTTTCTGTCAAAGTAAGGTATAAATGTAAGAGGGCAGTAATCCAAGAAAGGCCTTGGAAATAAAAGTGTAGAGGGAAGCTCTATGGCAAGCCGTTTTAACATACATTCGGTTGTACCGGCTTTACATTCAAGATATCTGAAATTGTTTTATGACTAGACATTTTAGCGATTTAAGATATCTCTAATGACATTCTGACTAGTCGAAATGACGTCAGATTTACCATTAACATCTAGATATGAGATATCTAGAATGAATGACTGACTATCTCTAATACAAATTTCAGATATCTACGATTAAATTAAGACTAGTCATAAAGTAATTTCAAGATATCTCGATTTTAGTTTTGACTAGTCATAATTCTACTTAAAGACATCTCAAATGCCACCATAATTCATGA